AGTGTTCTTTCTTGGTTCGTTGAAGTGTTCTTTCTTGGTTTGTGTTCATTCTTGGTTCTTTAACAAGTTCTTTCTTGGTTCTTTGATGTGTTATTTGACAATGCTGTCTTCTTTGATGTGTTCTTTCTTAGTATGTGTTCTTTCTTGTTTTTTTTATGTGTTTTTTGACGGTGCAGCACAACTGATCTGTGGGAGTCCTGATCCTAGAACTGTGCTTTGAAAACCAAACGACCCACGACCAGCTGTGACCCCACTGTCCTCCATGCTGTTGTTGTTGAAACGTCGCCTGAGTACAGGTGGTACCGGACTGGGCCGGGACGGTTGGAGACCCAAAACGACCAGAAAACATTCTGATCTTCTGATGCAGTCATGCTGGATTCACAGTGTTTGTGTTCGTTGAGTGTTTCCTACCTAATCTTCTTCGACGTTAAGAGCTGAGGTGCAGCGGTGTGAGGGCGAGCGCCACCTGCAGGAGGAGCTGCAGACACGCCTTCTGCTGCAGGTGAAGCTCAGGTGTTGGCCTGAATGTTTCTGTCTTGATGGAAGAAGTCTGAGCTCCTTTTAGTTTGAATAAATAATGCTTGTTTTGTAACGAGTCTAATGGACCTGATGGTTGAAGATGTTTCTTCAAACTGTCTCTGGAGCTGAAAACTCTCCTGACAGCAGATTGAGGCTCGGCCCGCACATAAACATTTATTCAGATTATAAAACTAGGACCAGGTTCACAGCAGAACACACGTCAGAGTGGAAACTAAAACCCGTCCAACATTTTAAAAATGTTTTGGAACGATGAGCACGAAACAACCGAGCGCCATGTTTTCCATTGTCAGGTGATGACATCACAGGAGGGTTTGATCCCGCCCACATGCAACATCAACAGAAGACCTGGGCCGGGTCAGGAAGGACCAAGAGCGTCTCTTCCCTTCAAGTCAAATGTCACACATTTTTATTAGTTTTATTTTGAAGGAGTTTATTTTGTGTGTAAAGTTTTAATTTGAAGGAGTCAGAACATTCTGAGCTCGTAGTTCTTGTTGTGCAGCAGAAGTGAAGCTTCATCTTCCTGTCTGCGTCACGCGTGTGTTTGTGTCTGGTGCGGGGGGGGTCGTATTGATTATCCAGTGGAGCTCCTCCCCCTCCCCACGCCTGACTGAAGCTGATTGATTGGCTGCAGGAGGAGGGGGTGGTTCCACAGAGAGGCAGGCAGGGGTGACCCGTCCATGATGAAGAGGACGACTCTGCAGTGGAACCACAGGACCCAACAGGCCCGTCCAGGTCCAAACCATCCAGTTGTCCCTGCCCCCTCCTCCTCTGCCTGTCAGGAAGGTTACCTCCTGCAGGAGTTCACCTCCAAGGACATAACCAGAGGAGAGAAGACATCGCCACCGCTCGACGTCGGCCTGCAGGATTACCTCACACGCCTGCCGCGTCATCACATTGTGGAGCTCCGCCCACAGCTGCTGGACCGCCCAGTGGTCCAGGCCTCTCTGTCCTCCTTCACCTCCTGCACCATGCCGGCCTCCTCCAGGGCCCGCAGCCGCTTCCTGAACCTCCGCGACAGCGTCAAGAAAAGTCCAACCAAGAGCACAGCTAAAGCTGTGAGCAGCGGGAAGGAGGTGCCCTGGGTCCCACTCACTTTCAGACAGGTACTTCAGCTGCAGCCACGAGCCGAAAGCTTCGGCTCTGTGGAAGCAAAGTAAGGCTTTCAGCCAGGTACTTCAGCTGCCGCCACGAGCCGAAAGCTTCAGCTCTGAGGAAGCAAAGTAAGGCTTTCAGCCAAGTACTTCAGCTGCAGCCACGAGCCGAAAGCTTCAGCTCTGAGGAAGCAAAGTAAGGCTTTCAGCCAGGTACTTCAGCTGCCGCCACGAGCCGAAAGCTTCGGCTCTGTGGAAGCAAAGTAAGGCTTTCAGCCAGGTACTTCAGCTGCAGCCACGAGCCGAAAGCTTCAGCTCTGAGGAAGGTGTAGCCTGAGCATTTCATGTCGGATATGTTGGAGTCGTCCTCGCTGTGATGGTCGTCAGTGTCTTACCTGCTGCAGGGTCATGTTTTTGGTCAGTGTGTGACTGCAGGTTACAGACGGGTTCATGCGGTTCTAACGGGCCTGCTGCTGTTCGGGTCGTGGAGCATCTTCAGCTCCAAGATCCTGAGTGCAGCAGGAGCGCTCACTCCTGAGCGTGCTCCTCTGTTGACGAGTTGTTCCAGCTGCTTTCAGAACTAGGACTGTCGGATCAATGCGTCCACGCTCCCGGCTGGGTTTCCATGAGCTCTGGGTTCTGCAGCAGAACCAGCAGTCCAGTCCAAACCTCGGCTTCTGTCACCGACTTCCTGTTTGATCTGATTTTTAGGTTACGAGCCGGAGCCGATTCTGAGAGTTTACCTGTCGACGTGTTAAAAACAAATGTTGGATCATTTTAAATCTCCGGTCCATCACTTTAATTTAACCCAGCTGCCGTCTTATTCACTTTATTTTATTTATTCACTTTATTTTATTTATTCACTTTATTTTATTTATTCACTTCATTTTATTTATTCACTATTTTATTTATTCACTTTATTTTATTTATTCACTTCATTTTATTTATTCACTTTATTTTATTTATTCATTTTATTTTATTTATTCACTTCATTTTATTTATTCACTTCATTTTATTTATTCACT